GTGTGTGTGTGTGTGTGTGTGTGTGTGTGTGTGTGTGTGTGTGTGTTTGTGTATGGCAAGTGTGAGTTCTTGAGTTTGAGTTTCTGAGTTCCTGTGTCCTTGTGAATGCATTAGTCCATGTGCATTCAAATAGGCATATGAGCACACGTGTATATGTGTGAGTCTGTATTTGGCCAAGGAAGTTTGCAAACCCTAAAACTCTCCTATGAATCTTGGCTTGTTTAGGTGGAAGGCTTCTAAGCATTGCTTGACCTCCAGGGGGAAAGTATAACTCTCTGAGTAGAAAAGATAGGCCTATTCTGAAATTAGAGACATGGTGACTTTCAGAGATGGATGGACAGACAGGTAGCTGTCATTTACATAGTTCTAAACATGTATTATCTCATTTGAACCTCAAGTCTATTGTGCAAGTTAGGGTCTATGAGTATTATGATCCCCATTTCACAGATGAAGAAACTGAGGCCCAGAGAGATTAAGTGACTTACCTCCCTACCCATGGTTACACAGCTAGTAAATGTTGGAAGTGGAATTTGAACCCAGGTGTTCCTGACTCCGAGTCCAACACTCTATTCACTATACCTCACTGCCTATGGGCCCAGATAGATACAAAGAAACAGACAGGGATCTATCTCTGAGGGCCAGAATTCCTAGGATGGGCTGCTTGACCTGGAACCCACCTTTATCCCAATCCAAAAAAAGATAATTACTAAGAGAGGACTTTAAAAAGAGACTCAGGAAGGGGGTTCTGAGGATAGATAACCAGGAAGGTCCAGAAATCAGGGTCTGCTAAGAATATTGGGGAAAACAAGTTTGGGGTGGCAATCTGGATCAATCTGTCTCCCTAATCCATCTGGTTCTGGGGATATGATCCAGAGTCTAGAGCCACTGAGCAACGGGATGGAAGAAAGTTTGGGGTCTGCCTGCCTGTCTTTTTACTGGAAAAGATACAGGGAACAGGAACTACTGAGAGCAGCTGGGGACTGAGTTTAGCATGTTGCACCAGTAAGTATTAGCACAATCAGAGAGGCAGAGCAATTGATCTTTGAGCCAATAACCCTGACAAGAGCTCCAGCTTCTCTGCCTCTGAGTTGCCCATAATCAGCTTGCAAAAACAGTCTGCAGAGGTTTCTGGGCTAGTGTCCCTAAACCAGACCACTCATTGAAAGACTCACAATTAACAAGAAAGCAAAAGACAGTCCCCAAGAGACAGAGTTAAGAGAAGAACTCCAATGTTGTGTTCTCTACCTGGCTCACCTGCCCCACAGGTTCTTCCCAGGGACACACATGCAGCTCAGGGGAACAGGGACAGACAGAAAGTCTGCCCCAAAACTCAAACTCTCCAGCTAGCTCTTCTGTGCCTCCCAATGAGGTGACACCTGGCTGTCCCTCTTATTAACACAATCGGCTCTGAGTAAGGGCCGGCTTGGGAAGCTGCTTTTATTAAACTAGCTATGGGAAGCCTCAGAGGGCAGAGAAGCTGGTGCCTTTGTTAGAACTGTCTTTACTGCTCTCCAGTCTTCCTAATTGTACTAAACTGGGCTCAAGTGCACTTTTCTCTCAGGGCTTCATTTCTTCATTTGTAAAAGGAAGGAATTGGACTAGAACTGGGGTTCTTCATTTTCTCCATCATTAAATTAGTTCACCCCATCAGCAAATTTGGATAAGGAAAAAATTACATCTTTATTTCAATGTAATGGGATTCCTTTGTAATCTTACGTATTTTGCTTTATGCATTTAAAGACAATATTTTGAGAAGCGGTCTGTCTATAGGCTACACGAGACTGCCAAAGGGGTCTGTAATATACAAAAATGTTAAGAAACCCTTGACTTAAAAAAAAAAAGTTGATCTCTGTGTTCCCTCCAGCTCTGAATTCTATGATCAGTTTATCTATCTCAGAGAGCAGGGAGAGATAACAGGATCCCATCCGTTACCAAGAGAGTCCCTAACATTGGCTTCATCCCTCCAGACGCATCTTTTCCTCCTCTCGCTCCTCCCCCCTCCAGGATCCCCCATTTTCTGGGCCCTGAAGCCCATTCCCAAGCCACAGCTCCAAACATACCTTTCTCCCTTTCTTCCCTTCGAACTCCATGGTGTGTGCCCCCAACCCCCAGCTCTGTACTGGCTGGAAATTTTCTTTGTTGTATTTCCTGCCTCGGAAACTCCACCAAGCAGACTAGGAATTCCTGCCCCTCCTGGCCTGATAAGAAGCACTGGACTAGAGTGGGTGGAGGTGCCAGGGACCCCAGGCCAAGGAAAGGAGTTCTGAGCAGAGTGGCAGCCCCTCTTGGGGAGAGCTGGGTAAGAACAGAGAATAAGTGGGAAGATATGGGAACTACCATTCCTGAGAGCTGGTAGGAGATAATCAGGGCCGGTAAGGCACACGTCCTAGGCCCTATGTGGCTACACTTTATTCCTATCCAGACTTTGTGACTAGGGATGAAGTTTCCCTTTCAGACTCCTTAGAAGCACAAAGTTGCCCACTGTCCTCATACTGCCCCTGGCTACCTAGGACCCACTGCTAGGCCCTACCCACTCAGGATCCCTTCCTATGCCTTCACTCCTCTCCATCCCAAACTGTCTCAGATCTAATGAACCCTTGAAGGATCACAGGACCCAAGATTCAGAAAGGACTTTGGAGGGCATCTAGTCCAACCTCTTCAACTTATAGATGGAGCTGAGACCCAGAAAGAGGCCTCATTTACAGTCATATAGGTGGCAAACATGGCTTTCAACCCAGCTCTGCTGACTCCATACCTGGAACTGTTTACATTATACCAGGGGCAGAGATGTGCTGTTAAATGGCTAACCCTCTTCCCCAAATCTGTTTACAAGGTATACTTTTAAATTTAATTTGCATTATTAACACGTTCCTAAATCTACTCAACAATCAACAAAAACAATTAATCAAGTCCTAATTTGTAGCATTTGCAGATCTCCAAGCTGTAGAAGCTCACACTGAAATGATCAGCTGTGGCAAGCTGGTAAGAGTGGCTCAAGCACAGCCCTGATACATGAGTCTAAAACTTGGTGGAATGAGCCCAGAACTAGCTTCAAGAGACTGGCGTTCTAGTCCCAGGTCAGACCCTGACTTTCTTCATTTGCTGTATGACTCTGTATTAAATTGCTTAACTTTCCTGGGCCTCAGTTTCCTCATCTGTTCAAAAGGGGATAAAGCAGGGTTGTGAAAGTCAGCAGAGAAGGAATGGAAAAATCCCAAGGACAGAACAAAATAAGAGATTATTCAGGAGAAGCAGCGATGGGTGTATTGATTTAAATTGTCTATTCTAATTCCAGTTTTGCCACCATCGATATGTGATCTTGGGCAGGTCATTCATGTTCCTTCCCTGGGCTTCAGTTACCACATCTTTCAGATGGGTTAGACTTAACAGTGTCTGAGGTCCTTTCCAGCTCTGACATTTTGTGATCTGTTTTTGGAAAATATAGGTACCTGCTTAGGTTCAGGGTTCACGTAGGAGTTCCCAGGCCTTTCCTCCCTCTCCCACCCTTCCCCACCCTCCCCACCCCCAGAGGCCAGATGGCCTGGGCTGGGAAGGTCTAGGCCTTGTAATTGCTTCCTCCTTCCTCTCTGTATATCCTGTGTTTCTAGCCACGGTGGCAGGAAGCTGATCTGGACTAGGCTTCACTCCCAGGCAGGAAGAGAGCAGATTTAATTCCTGTCCCCTCTGACAAATTCTCCTAGAGTCAGTTTAGACCTCCTCAGCAGTGCAAATACCCTCTAAGATCTTGGGTGCTGTCTTCAAATTCATAGGGTTGCTTGTGAAAGGAAAACCAGGTTTTCTTTGTATTTGTAGTGAAAAGCAGTATAGGATAATGGAAAGAACACTGGGTTTGAGTTCAAATCCTGCCTCATGTCCACTTACTGGATGTGTTACTAAAGGCTTTACCTTAAGCCTTAGTTTTTAAACCTTAGAGTTTATCTGTAAAATATGGAGAGTAATATTTATGTTGTTTAAGTTGCAGAATTGCTATGAGGAAAATGCTTTATAAACTCCTTTTTTTGGTGTGGGTGGGGGAGGCAATCCAGATTAAATGACTTGCCTAGGGTCACACAGCTAATAAGTGTCTGAAGCTGGATTTGAACTCAGGTCCTCTTGACTCCAAGGCCAGTGTTCTATCCATTGTGCCACCTAATTGCCCTACTTTGTAAACTTTTAAGTGCTACAGGAATGTGAGAAATGATTATTTTTGTGCTCTTCAAGCATATGTCATCTGGTAGAGAGATCTGAGCTGGAAGTTACTCTAGAGATTACTTAGTCTAACCCCCCTAGAATAGGCCTCCACCCCCTCTTCCCTAGAATATTTTGTTAGTCTCCCAGTCAGCCTCTAGTCTCTCCCCTTCTATTCCTTCTATATTCATTTTCCTAATGAACCATTTTGGCCACGCCCTTCCCCTTGTTCAAGACCCGTCAGAGGCTTCCATCTATTCACAGGGAAAAGTCTGAAATATGTAATCTGTTGAAATCCTTCTTCTTTAAGGCTCAGCTCAGATGCCGCCTCCTCCATGAAGCCTCCCTGCCTTTCCCCCGCCCATATCCCTGAGCCAAAAGTGATCTCTTGTCCTTGAATTATTTGATGACATTTTGTTTCTTCTTCTCTTATATCACTTACCATATACCAAGAGCCCTGGATTTGAAGTCAGAAGAACTCAGTTCAAATTGTGACTCTGCCTACTAACTAGCTTTATGAATTTGGGTAAGTCACTTAACTTCATTAGGTTTCACTTTTCCCATTTGTAGAAAGAACGGTTTGGATGGTCTCTTGTTGTATGGCATAATTGAAAAGTAGGTGCTCAAAGCAGTCTAACTGATTGGTTTATACCTTTCTCCAATCAGTAGAGGAAATCAAACACAAATTTCACCTTCTCCCAGCCCCATCCCTATTCTCCAAAACCGGAGCAGGAGGTATGCAGGACTCACTTCTTATGCCCAGTAGGATGTTGAGATTTGGGAGGAAGGCCCAGTTCACTCCCTGTTAATCCCAGCTGGTCTTGCTGCCATCCCATCCCCATCTCTTGGCATAGTTCCCCAACGGTGGCTGTTCCTTCTCATACATGCCCTGATACATATCAAGAAGATGAGTTAGCACACTTCTGGCTCCCTCTGACCCTTTAACACACTCTCTCTGATACTATCACTCAGCAAAAACCTTTAAAGTGTTCTCCATCCCGTCCAGCTCCCTGTTGCAATGATCCCCATATCTCTGGGTCACTGTCCCTCCTCTCCAATAAGTTTGGTATGTGGCTCACATCTTCTTTTCCCCAACCTCTACCCACTTTCAAACACCGTAGTCTCCCAGTTTCTCAGCTGACTCAGCTCCCTTGACTTCTGTTTCCAGACTACCTCAACCTTTCATAGGACTAGATGCTGGGCCCCCAGCCCCCACTGATTTTTCCCCCAGGTGTCAGAATTCCTTGTTGCTGCTCTGAGGCAGACCCTTCCCCCAAAGAGGGAGGCTTAGAAGGGAGGCCAAGCTGTGGCCTCCCATCTAACTCTCCTTCTCTAATTCAGGAAACATCCACAAGAGCCAGAGGGGTTTGTACTGAAATGACTTTAATATCTCATGTTGCAGCAAAATTAAAAATATACAAAAAGTTTGTGGCATACAAAAAAGTCTCAGTACAGAAAGCCCGGCCTGGGGATCCCCCAGCTTCCCCCTGCCTGGGCCCAAGAGAGGAAGGCAGAGGAAGAAGAGGGTGGCACCAACAATATTGAAGTCATGGAGGGAGACATAAGGGCTGAGGACAGAGGGAGGGTGCAACGGAATTGAAAAGGGGAAAGAGAGGATGAGGGTTGGCAAGGCCAGTAGTACCCAGTAGGGCAAATGAGCTGACAGAGAACCCACTGAGCAGAAGCTGCTGGGGCTTAAGCTGAGGGAAGGAGTCCATAGTTGGGGATTCCTGTCAGTCAATAGCCAGGCAAGGAATAGGGGATGAGGAGAAAGGAGGAAGAAGAGGGATGAGTTCAAACTTGAACCATGTCTGAATTTGGAATCACATCTAAAATGGGGGCTATATCTGGAATCAGATCTTTATATGGCCCCTGGAGCCAAGCCCCATGAACTCTGCAAAGGGCAAGAGCTTAGTAAATGCTTGTTGAATTAAACTCAATGTAGGATTGGATAAGCTCATGGGTTTGAGGAAACTTCAAAGCACTGAACTCATCTGGGAGCTTTAGCCCTGTGGGAACTCAAGAGGCAGCTTGTGGCTCATTGGGATTCCAGCCTGGGTAGGCAGGGTTCTCTCAGCTGGTCTGGATGCCCTCTCCTACACTTGGTCTGAGTCATTCACAGGTGAAGCCAAGAGCCCCCTCCCAGCCTGCAATCTGGCTGTGCCCCCACCCTCCCCTCAATTATTGCAAGTGCCTCCAGCCCCCATGATTATGCATAGAAATGTGCCTTCTCAGGACACCTCCCCAGGTAAGGAGGATCCCATCTGTTCAGGACCTTCCTGGAGAAAGGGAGCTGAGGTGACTGTCAAGGAGGACCCAGCAAGGCCTATGTCTCAGGCTCTTCATTCCACCCCACTTCCTGGCAGTCAAATTCCCAGGGACAGTTTTGGGCTTGGAAGACGAGGTTCTTCCATCTACCTCCGATTCTGATTCCCAGCTTCTTTTCTTGGGTAACCCCCCTTAGCAGAACCAGACAACCAATACTCTCTCTCTCTCTCTCTCTCTCTCACACACACACACACACACACACACACACACACACACACACACATACACACAGCCCATAGCATCTTCCAAGCTGTTCCCTCCTACCTACACCTGTACCCAAACCCACCCATCAGAGCCCTCCCAAGGTCAGAGCAGACCCACTAGAGAACAGTGTGCATCCCAAACCAAAGCCTGTAGTCCAAAGAACCTTTCCATACTAACCCTCCCTCCCCAACTTGGCATATTCTGGAATGCTACCCACATAGCTTGGTGATATCTGGGCCCATTCCTGCAATGTGTCTTAAAGCACTTCAGCAGCAGGTTGGTGCTGTCTCTCATCCTCAAGGGAGAGGGGAGAAAGCATAGAAAGGGCAAAAGAAGGGGCTGAGTCCTTGGAACCCATGCCTGCTTGTCACCTACATACTCTTCCTCAGTGTCCCTTGAGGTGGGGGTAGA